GCGAATTGGTCATGAACTTAGCCCTCTCCCTCTTCCAGTCATGAGTACGGCGGGGGTATTCCATATTGACTTGCCGGATGAGCCCAGTTTCGATGACATAGATGATATTTCTGATAGCCAGAGCGTATGTGCACCGGGGATTCAGGTAATATCGTTGGTAGACCCCTGTGCTCGCGTTATCAGCTGTTGTTACATCTTTGTGAATCTTTTTTTTTCTTCCAGGAACAGTTTTTGGAACGCGGACCACTTAAGGGTGATGAGTAAGATTATATTCACATAAACCAGTTCTAGTTTCAGACTCGACACTGATGTTGAGACCGTCGAAATCTGTGAGGAGACAGTAAATCCTGGTCAGCCAAAGGTTAAGCCGGAGGATTTCCATCTTCTTAAGGTTTTAGGCAAAGGTGGCTACGGAAAAGTGATTTCGCTTGTATTATTATTTCTTTAGGTATTTCTTGCGCGAAAAATTTCAGGTGTTGATAGTGGTCAGACTTTCGCTATGAAGGTCCTTAGCAAAGCTTCTATAGTTCGCAATGCTAAGGACACTGCACATACTAGAAGTGAACGCAATATCCTTGAGATGATAAAGGTATATTTTTATTATATTAACTAACTCTACAGCACCCTTTTCTCGTGCAACTCCATTATGCCTTCCAAACTCCAGGAAAACTCTATTTAGTTCTTGAGTTTTTGGCTGGTGGCGAGCTTTTTATGCAGCTTGAGAAGGAAGGCGTTTTCGTTGAAGAACAAGCAAGGTTATCTCCTCATTAATCTAGAATATCTCTTTTAATAATTATCCTTAAATACTAACTTGTGTATTTTATCTTTAGCTTCTACCTGGCCGAAATCACCCTCGCTATTGGCCATCTTCATTCGATGGGCATAATATACAGAGACCTGAAACCCGAAAATGTGCTACTAGATAGTGAGGGTCATGTGAAATTAACTGATTTTGGGCTCTCCAAAGAGCGTCTGTCCAAAGATGCCCTCACCCATACGTTCTGTGGAACTATTGATTATATGTAAGGACCTAGACATGTATATCATCTCCTGGCTTATGCTGGATTCTTGTTTCTTTGCTTCGATTTTCTCATTCATTTATGCTTAAGCTATATTTTTCAATTGAATTAGGGCACCAGAAATTCTAAAGCGACAGGGACATGGCAAAGAGGTCGATTGGTGGAGCCTGGGAACATTAATGTACGATATGCTGTCTGGAGGGGTATGTCATTCTAATTCATATATCGCTTTTTAAAACGACATCTAAAGAAGAAATTGCACGTTATTTAGCGCGATTTGTTTATTGTTAAACCTGGGTAACAGATCCATTTTCTTAATTTAGTATCTTATGTGCTTTTTATGGCCATCCTATTAAGATGGCACTTATTTAAAATGTATTTGTCTGTTATACGAAATGTATTCATTCTATTTCGTTTAAGGTGATGAACGGATTATTGAATTTTCCCACAATGATATGAGTAGAACTGATGTATATATTCAATTCCACATAGCTTTACTTTTCCCAAAAGTTTTCTAATCCACAGTTGACTACAGTTTTGGTCTCGCTTTTGTCTTATCAAAATCTTCAGCGGGAATTGTTTAGAGATCACACTTTGCAATCTCATGGTTCGACTTCCTCTGGGTGCGCTCATAAGACATATTCAAGGTCGAAACTGCAGTCCACATTAGATGAGGTTACCTTTTGTGAAAGCAAGGGTATGTAAAATTCAATTTAGACGTCAGTTCAATTTATTTAATTGTAGAAAAATTCAACTACTATTTCGTCATTATCTTAAATAATATAAGGCGAATATGTCTCATAATTGACTTGCTGGTAGTCTCAAAACCCTACTTAGAAACGAAAAATATTTGCTTATTATTTGATATGTAGTTAAAAATATTTCGTATGCTTTAACTTAGCCATAATTAAGGGTTACCGGAAAAGTGGCTTCTGTTGGGACTAATGATTTTTCTTGTATCTTTCTAGCCCCCCTTCGCCGCTCAGGACAAAAACAAGACTATAGAGAATGTATGTTTACTCTTTCTTAAAGCAGTAATTTTTTTAATGAATAATTGTAAAAGTTAAATTTTATTTTTAATATATTATTTTGATTCGTTTTATCGAGCATTTTGAATCGTTTTATTTTTATGTATCTTTTTTATCCCATTGAGAATTAGCTAATTGAAAATGCTATTTCATAATACTGTATAAGTTTTTTCTTTATTCATCTCCCTAGTTATGTTTTGTGATAAGGCTATTTAAAATTGTCATGCATACGAACCACTTAAATCGACTAGTCTTTTATTACACTGTTTCAATATTTTTACTCAGATATTTCTTTAATTCTTCCTGCTTTCGCCTCAACTATTTTGTTAGGGAATACGACCTATTTGTTCCACTTCATGAACTATGTCTAACTGTAAGTTTTTGTTTATTATTAGGAATATTCTAATTCATACAAACATGTATTAAAGATAAAGTAAGTCTGATATTAATGCGTCTAAGGTG